GAAAGTATAAGGACGTGAAACAGAGTGGAAAGATCTTTAATTGTGTTTGGGAGTAAGGGGAGGTGGGGAGAGACATATAAGAAACTGTTTTCTGTCAAGTTTCTGTGGGGATATGTAGTTTTAAACAATCATCTGAGTTCACAGCTTGAGTTGTACAATTCTTGGACGTTATTGTAGTATAGTTCCCCATGTTACTGCAGAAGTTTGGGGGGTTTTTTAAACCATGAATTTAACCCTTAGATCTATCCCTACACTTCTGCAACCTAGAAGTTTCTCTTGAAGAAACCCAGGTTGGGAAATCTCACTAATGAGTACTATAGGCCATTTTTTTGTCCCCCAACTTGATCGAGATTTAGTTGACATATAACATTGTGTAAGTTTAAGATGTACGTTATGATCCAGTACATGGATATATTGTAAAATGATTGCCACGGTTTGGTTAATCAGCATATCCATCACCTCACACAATTACCGTTTTGTCTTAGTGAGAACATTAAAGATCTGAGTTTTTAAGTACTGCATTGTTAACTGTACTGTGTGTTATGTCCCCAGAATTAAGTTACCTTTGTCTGTGCCTTTGACCACCTTCACCCATTTCTGTCACCCGCCCCACCCCCAACCCATGGTAACTACAAATCTATTGTCTGTTTTTACAGCTTCAGTATTTTTAGATTCCACATATAAGCGACATCATACATTCTTTCTCTGACTTATTTCACTTATTCAGTGCCCTCAGGGTCCACCCATGTCGTCTCAACTGGCAGGATTTCCTTCTTTTTTATGGCTGAATAGTATTCCCTTCTTCTCTCATTCATCAGCGGACATTTAGGCTGTTTCCATGTCTTCGCTATCGCGAATAATGCTGCAGTGAACATGGGGTACAGCTACTTCTTTGAGATACCGATTAGATTTGCTTTGGTTATTTGTCCAGAAATGGGATCGCCGGATCATCTGGCAGTTCCGTTTTTAATTTATTTTGAGTAACCTCCACGCCGTTTTCCGTAATGGCCATAACACGTTCCATGCTCCCCAAGGGTGCACAAGGGTTTCCTTTTCTCCGTATCGTCACCAGCATTGTCATCCCCTTTGGATAGTAGCCGTTCTAACAGGTGTGAGGCTGTCGCCGGGTCAGCAGTGTCTGCTACCCGGGTGGGCGAGTATGGGTCCCATCTGGTCCCTGGGTGGAGGGGCTGCCTCCAGTACCCCTTGTTCAGTAGGGTGGCGCTGGGACAAGGATCTGCTTCGGAGTCCACAGCTGGGTCCTCAGACAGCAGTGTGCATGACTTCTGTAATTCATTCTTTCTTTAGAAATTCTACCTGTAGTCACAGAAGGAAAACTGTTCCATCAACACACACACGTGCACGACCTTGACTGCATAGCCATTATGTCACTCGGAACCTGCAGTTTACGGGGAGAAACTATGACAGTGTGTCCTTTATTTTTTATATATTAAACAAGTAACCATGTCTTTGTTTTCAGGTTTGGCGTGGTTTCTGTCAAAGTAAGAAAACAGAAAAAGAGCGGCAAGAGGAGATGGTATTCCTGGGAATGGTGAGTGTCCTTGCGCACGGACTGCGCATCTGCTTTTCTTAAAGACGATCCAATCCGTGAGACGCGTGTCTTCCTTAGAGAGCTCTCGGGGGCAGAAAGGAAATCAAAATAAGTGATCAGTGACTGAAGACAATGGAGTCACCTGTGTGACACAGACGCTTGCCCCGGGGGATCCAGAGACAGTGGGGCACGTCCATTCACGGGTCTCTGGGAGAATCTGTGGACCACGCCATATGTGGAAACAGGCTCTGGGTCGCACGCCGGATGCTGTCCCCGTCGATGCCAGCGCGCACTTGAATTTATTAGTGCACGGTCATGCGAATGGGTTTGCGCCGATAGAGCCGCCTTTTTGGGGTGATTGTAGTGATTACTGAATCGGTTAGTTATCTCCTGCTGGATGACAGTGTTCCCGCAGACCCGGCGGCTCACACATACACGTTTGTTCTTCTGGTCCCCGTGGGCCGGGAGTCTGGGCACGTCTTAGCGGGGTCTTCTGGCCGGGGTCCCACAGGCTGCAGCCCGGATGTCGGCTGGGGCTGGGGTCTTGTCTGAGGCTCCGTGTGGGAAGGGTCGGCGTGCAGGCTCGTGTGGCCACCGACGGGACTCAGCTCTGGTGGCCATCAGATGGAAGGGCTGTTTTCGCTCAGCTTCGGGCCGTAGACGCCTCTACATGCGGCGACGTGGTTCGCCAGAGCCTACGAGGGAACGAGTGGATGCTAAGGATCCCCTGCGGTGACCGCGGGAGTGGCCTGTTCAGGTTGGTTAGAAGCAAGTCACAGGGCCCAGCCACACTCAGGTGACAGGAGCGCGGGCGGGCGTGAGCGCCAGGAGGTGAGGAGAGTTGGGACTCTCGGGTCCTGTGCAAGGTCATTTCCCTCTGTCACCTGCATCACCAAACCCCAGGCCTTCGAGGAGGACCCTCTGCCTAGCCCCTCCTGGGCGAGGAGCGCGTTCCAGCACTGAGTTAGAGGCGCTGGGGCGAGCCACATCGCTTGGCGCCCCGTGTCTCATGCCCAGATAAATATATTGAAATGGTGACATTGATAAATACAACGACGGGGACTTTGAACATACTAATCGCATACAGAGCTCTGGTGAGGCCGGTCAAGAACAGAAGGAAAGAAAACACAAATGCTCTGTACGTAACCACAGATGCTCACTGACAGGTTTACAGAATATTAGATAATATGAATTACTCTGGTAATAAGTTAGAAAATATTGAACGGAGATTATCTAGGGAAGTATACGTATCAAAACTGAGCAAAGAGGTCCAATACCTGCATAACCAGCCCCCATGGCAAATGCTGAGGTTTTCAAAGTCCCTGTGTTATTTTGGGTCCAGTGAGAAGCAGGTACCAAGAAGTGAAAAAGCAAATGTAGTTTTTACTTTTTTACCAATTAATGGATATGGTTCCTTTCATGTTATTCTTTTCTTTTTGCGTTTGTTACATTTCGAGTATCGCGCGCCCATTCTTACTTTTAGAGAAAAGAAATCACTTGAGCTCCAGCCTGTGGCTGACGCGGAGCAGAGCAGAAGGCCCTGTGGGTCCCTTTGCTCTGTGGTCGGCCATAAACGCGACTGTCTAAGCCGCATTTCCTTAGGTCTTGTATACAAATATTAAAATTTCCTTTCTGAGATTTTAGGGCTTAAATTAAAATATCTTATCAGTGATATTATTAATATCAGAAAAAACCATAATTTACTCCCACATTCAGGGTATTGCTGTGTAATTGTCACCGACTTCACAATGGCATATTCTGAAACAGTCCGTTTCAGAGTCCTTACGTTGTCCTCCGGCCCCACACCCCGATGTCCCCAAGGCTTCCGTGCACCGCCTCTGTCATCAGCACGGATTTGAAAGTGCGAATTCTTTTGCTTGGTGAAGGAAGTCACCCGCACGTCCCAGACACTTGCAAGAGCGTGGTTTCCTGGTGAAGGGCAGCATGTCACTGCGCACGCGTTTACAAAGTCTCAGTTGTGACATCCAGGCTTTATTGTCTTTAAAAAATGATAAATCATGCCAGAGTGGCAAATACGATTTTAAAAATACCTTAACTTTACCACCTAGTTTCTTGATTTCCTTTCCCTTTGATCTTTGAATTTCAAAAATAATCAACATTTATTTTGGGATTCGAAAACCCCTGGGGATGCCAGCCCATCTTTTATTTTCTGTTTGTTTAGTCACGCTATGAGAATCAAGTGAGTGAGTGATCTCTGCCAGCTGTCACAGATTTTTATAATTTAAAAAAAAAAATGACTGGGTGGAATATTAGGCAGTCATAAAAAAGAAGCAAATCCTGACACAGGCCACGACATGGATGAACTTTGAGGGCATCGTGCTAAGTAAAATAAGCCAGTCGCAAAAAGACAAACACTGTGAATCTGTTTCTGTGCGGTAGCTAAAGTAGGCAGACTCAGAAACAAGGTAAAACGGTAGTCCCCAGGGCTGGGGGGGAAAAGGATAGGGAGTTGTTCAGTGCGGACAGAGTTTTAGTTTTGCAAAATGAAAAAGTTCTCCAGATCCGTCACACGACAGTGTGAATATATTTAATACTACTGAGCAACATACTTAAAAATGGCTAAGATAGTAAATTTTATGTTATATGTTTTTCGCCACAATTATTTAAAAATTTACTAGAACATTGACATGTATACCGAAATGGTTCTACATAAATTATGATTATTCACGAATAACCCAAAAAAGATAAGTTAAAAACTAAACGAGATACAATATTTCATTGAATCTAAGATGTTATCGATTGTAAAATACATTATGATTTTTATTTGCCATTAAAGAAAAATTGTTTAGTCAAATAAACCAAAACATCCTTCATTATAATACACATCCATCCTTAATTTTAGAAATGTTAAATTATAAAAAAGATGCATCTTAGAATTGGTGAAATAGGGCAAGTTGTGTCTGCCTTATGCGACAAAAAAAAAAGATTTTGCAAGTTATAATTATTGACAAGAGTGTTACGCAATGCTTGTTCTCGTGCATGAGTTAAATCAATTCAGCCTCTCTGAAGGACTGTTAGCAGGCTGCAACAAGACCGTTAAAATACTTACGTCCTTCACCACCAATTCTATCTTAAGGAAGTCATCAGAAATTGAGATTTATGTGCGTGGAAGTTTTCTGGTGCTGTTTTTAATCATGAAAATTGGAAGTAGCTATGCTAGTGTTCTAGAACAGAGATATAGTTAGTTAGATAATTGGTGACGGGCCTGCATTAATGTGGTAATTGCCAACATTGAAAACATATATTCGTGACTAATTTACGATGACATGACGATGCTCAAAGTGAAAATACAGGAGTTAGAGCTGTACATAACTAGCTTCAACTCAATATGAATACACACATTCACGCACATACAAAAGAAAGAAGGCAAATGTACCGAATTCAAATAGTGTTCGTTTTTTTAATGTGGGACTTTGGAAGATTTTTTTTTTGTCTATACTTGTCTATATTTTCCCATATGCTTAAATGTTACTTCATTAGCTGGGGAAAAAATTACACATTTAAAAATAAAAGCAGATGGCCATAGAATATTACCATTTTTTTTCCCTCCTACGATCCACGGATCGTTTGGTGGCTATGTCATGTGGATAGGTCGTGACGTGACATTGTGTCTCGGTTCCGCCCTTAAAGGGCACACAGGCATATGATGTAACGATAAAAACGACGGTCACCTCCAGTCTTCTACTTTAAATATCAAACTCGCAGGCAGCAGAGTCCACTGAAAATGGTCTAAGCGTAACGGGAAAGTCTACATCAGCAGCGATTTCGATTCAACAGATTCCTTACGACTCCACCTGCGTTCACTGAGCATCTAGTCTGTTTACACGCCAGGAGCTTAGGGACCAGCCAGATGGCATTTCTTCATCCTGGGGTCTTAGTATCTTACACTGATACCACAGGAAGATAAAATTACGTGTTTCTGACTATGATTTTTCTGTTTTACTTTGTAGTTTATATCTGCTCAGCTCACTTTTTTTTTTAAAAAAAAAAAGTCTATTTTCAGCAATACAGAATTTGGATAGTATGGTGAGCAGTTTGTCTGTTTTTTATTAAATGTGACTTTCTCCAGTTTGCTTTTTTTTTTGTTTGTTTTTGGTACGTCTCTTCTCGATATTCACGTGTTATTGAAATTTTACGCTGTTGAGAAATATATGGATTCAATTTATAAAGAATGATATCTTGTGTTTACTGACTGATAACCATAAAAATAAATTACCCAAGTCTAAGAAATGTTTTCAGTCTAATATATTTTTCACTCTATCACTAATTAAGATATTGTTCGCTCATTTTAAGTTTTCATTTTTCCTTTATTTCATGTTGTTGTATCACGCCCGTGTAGAAACCACTGACTTATCTCATCAGAACTGAGCTGGTGTCTTTATCAGAAGCCTGGCACATTTCCAGGGGTGACTGGTTAGTCACTGAAACCAGAATTAGAGCAAGAAACATCATTATGCCTTTAATTCCTGACCAAATGTTTTTCTTGCCATTGTCATATAAATTTTTTCGATATTGCCATTTTAAATATTTATATTCTAAAATCTACAAAGGAAAATAAACAGCACTCTAAAAATTCATGTGCAGTTATTTTAATTGGCACAGCCAACGGAGTGGATCAAGGAAGGAAACTTAATGAATGTAATACATTTCCTTCCGCGGGTCCTTCGAAATAATGTGTCCTGCAGTCATGACCATCATATATTTTATGTTACCCCGAAGCTATCAATGTTTGCATTATAATGAACAGTGGGGGAGGGGAGCTTATTAAAGAGAAAGAACTGTCACGTTGAAATGCATCAACTGAATCCTCGAAGCACCATAAAACCCTGCTCACTTTCAAATCCTGACATGAAACAAGCTTCATGCCAGATTATTCTTTGGTCAGTAAATTAGACTTCTTTCTTATTAAGCGAATACCCGCAACCGAGTAGGAGCTTGGGCGCCCAGCGAGCGCTGTCTTCCGGGCCGCATTTGGGAAG